ACTTTTGAAAATGATAAATCTGAATGTGTTAAATGTGCTCCTAATTTTATACTGCTAAGCCTAAAAGTTGGGTAGCAGGTATTGATAAATGTTTTCCTTGTCCTAATATATTAATTTAAGGAGCTTAAGCAAATTATCCTGCTTCTGCTTCTCTCGCTACTTAATGCAGAGTTGTTTTTCATAACTTTTGAATTTTTCCTTATTATTTTTTTATTTATTTTTTATGACTAATAAAATATAAAATATAATATATATTACATATATATTAATTATTATATATATTAACTTTAATTTTTAATAAAAAATATTTTTTTAATATAAATAATATATATCATAAATACTAATTATACTCTTTTTAATTTTTTACTTCTTCTATTTAAAGAGTTATTAATTTGAAATAAGTGTTTAAAAAAATAAATTTTTTATTAATTATTATATTTAAGTTAATAAATAAATAAATATTACGATAATATATTTAATATATAATTTATAAATGACATAATATTTATCTAAGTAATGAGAATTAATTTCTTTAATTTCATATATATTTATTTCATAAATAATTTATTATATTTTAATTTTTATTTCCATTTCAATTTTTATATAGTATTATTATTAATAAAACTTTTTAATTGTTAATTTTTTAATTTAAATTTTTTTTAATTAAAATTATCTTTTTTTTCTAATAAATAATTTAAAAATAATTTATTATCAAAAATTTTATTCTTAAAGTAAAATTTAATATGAGTTTGCGTTAATAAAAGCTAGGTATTAAAAATACATAAATTATTTGTTTATAATCATTAAAATAAAATATAAAAATTATAAATATGATTTATATAAATTTTATTTTTAAAAAATTTAATAAATATATATTTGTTAAAAAAATATATTTGATATCTTTTTATAATAAAAATAACGATTTTTTAAATATAATATGTTTTTATATAAATTATTTATTTATTTAAATAGGTTTTATATAAAACTTATTATAAATTTAATAAATTATTATTTTAAAAATTTTTTAAATAAATTCATTATTTTAATCAAATAATGCTATAAATGATATTACTTTTAAAATTATTAAAAAAAAAATATTATATTTTTATTGTAATTTATATAATTTATATAGATTATTCTATTAATAATTTTTTTGTTTTCTTATATAATATATATATAATCTTTTATCTTAGTTATTATAAAAAATATATAATTTTATAAAAGAAAAAAATTTCTCTATTTATTATAATTATTAAATAAAATCATTATTAAAAAAATTAATAATATTTAAATTGTTTAATTTATTGCTCATAAATTATTTAATAAATTAGATTCAGTTAAAATAAAAATATATTTATTGATTATAGTTATTACTTAAAAAATTAATATTTAATTTAATTATTTGATAATTATTAATTAAAATAAATTAATTATTGGACAAGAAAAATATAGAAGAACATTTTTATTAACTTTATTTGCTTATAAATGTTTTATAAATAATCAAAAAAAAATTATTAAGTATATAATATATAAAATATAATATATAAAATATATAATATATAATATATAATAAATAAAATCTAATATATAAAATAATTTTATATAATATAAACATATAAGTTTATTTTAATAAATAATAAAATAATATTTATGGCTTTAATAATAATCGATTATAATAATTTTTTTTTATTTTTATTTTTATCTGATTAAAAAGTTTTTAAATTCATTTGTTTTATTTCATTTTTAGAAGAATATTTGATAAAGTTCTTTTAATTTATTTTCAAATTATATTTTATATATATTTTTATATATTAAATAGTTTATTTTTAAATTAAAAATTATTAAATATATTTATTATTTCTAAAAAATACGATTCAATAAAA